GAATGTGGTCTACTTCTCTTTAATGACGAATTTGCTTGCTAACTAGTGGCAGGATCTTAAACCGGATGTGAGAAAGAGGCAGAGATGGAGCTTATGGATATTAAGACGACTTATTGGTATGACACACCACCACTAAAAAGTTTTTTTTTCTGATTAGCTTCGGGTCAGTTTGAAACACAGCCTGCACTTTTTTCAAGCCTCAACCCTCCCTTCCCCCTTCCAACCGCAGCTTATATAATAACTAATAGAGTGCGTTTCATTTTCTGGTATTTGAGCTTCGGTTCTTTTTACGGAGAGGTTCGGTATGGTTCACCGTGCGTTTTACATTTCTAAGCATTTACTAATTTGCCTTAAGGGAAAATTTTCTGCAAGGAATTGGTCTTTATTTTTGGTAATTTTTGGCTCCGTTATGTCGGAAATGAGACTAAAGAATCTGCTATGTTCCGAAACTTCACGTTTTATTTTATAAAATCAACTTAACCTCCCTCTCTCTCGTCTCACCGTTCTCTGTCTTTCGCTCTGGTCTCTCTCATTTTAAATATATAATATGATCCTATTGTTCAATCATCTGTCACTTATCGCAAAAAATCAACCGGAAATCAATTAACGCTGAATAATCTCTCACACACTCCCCTGTTTTTCTCAACGGAGAAAAACACTAGAATGGCGCGCTCGATAAAATTTGAAATTCAATGAACGAAACAGAAAGTTAGTCCAGTATATCAGTTCAGTGTTCCTAAATATCTCTAATCGGCATCAATGTTCGCATCTTGAATGCGATAACGAGCGGCTACCGCTGCATCCCTCCTGGGCCTGAATGTCGGGGCTAAGGGGTTGAGCTGCAGAGGAGCCTGTACATTCTCCCGATCGCAGGACAGCTCCAGTGGGTAAAGGTGTTGTACCGCCCGTTCAAGTGTTCCTTTCCCCGCTCGAAGTTTGGCAGCTCGAACGATTCCGTCTCGTCCCGGAATCAGATCTTCCACGATTCCAATTTTCCATTTATTGCGATTTCGTTCCTCGTCCTTGATGATGACTACCTCTCCTTTGGCCAAGGGCGTGGTTTGACCCTTGTGTTTCATCCGGTGTCGTTCTCTCAACCCTCGTAAATATTCGGTAGTCCACCTGGTCCACAAAGCCTGCTTGCACCTTCGCAAATATTTAGCTCTTCTACGCAGATCAAATTCTCTTAGATGGTGTGGTTCCAGTTCTGGTAGCTGGTTTGATCGAAGAAATAGCAGTGAGTTAGGGGTAAGCACGGGTAACTGTATGTCGTCTTCGACGTAACATAAAGGGCGATTATTCAAAGCAATCTCCACATCCAGTACCACTTCACACAGCTCTGTCCAGGTCAACATTCCGCATCCGATAGTCTTGTTTAAAGCTGTTTTTACCAGTGCGATGAGGCGCTCGAACTGTCCTCCCCACCAAGCGGCGCGGCTGAGGTTGAATTGCCACTTGATGTTCTCATGTGCTAAGTAATCTTGTGTCTTCTCGTCACGCATAACTTGTTTGAGCCACTTCTCGGCGCCAACAAAGGTTTTGCCATTGTCGGAATATATCTTCTTCGGACGCCCACGGCGCGCGATGAGCCGTTTTAGACTTCTTAGGAATTCACTGGTTGCCAGGTTTGGTAGTACTTCCAGGAATAATCCTCGGGTAAGACTGCACGCGTACAATGCAAGATAGGCCTTTCCTTCTGTTTTGGCTTGTAAGTCACTTGGTAAGGGCCTATCCCATGCGATCTTCGTGTCGCAGGCATCTCTGTAGAGCATTTTTCCAGAGAGGGTCACGGGTGAAGCCAGACCGAGTGGATCGTAGATTTTTGCGACTTTTCCAAGAATACCTCTTTTTGTCGGCTCAGCGGTTGAAATCGGGAAGCTGACTTGAATTTCGTCCTTTTCTTTGTCCCAGGGGACTCCTAGCAGTTTTGATTCGCCCTTTCTGGTTCCCAGTTGTTGTTTGGCGTAACTCTGACTTTCTTCATCTACAGTCGCAGTTTCAACTTCTAGTTCCCGATCGTTGGAATGCCACTTGTGCAGCTTGAAAGTCGCCTCACCAAAGATGGTCGTGGCTGTCATCTTGATTTCTAACGCTCGTTCTGTTGTCTCCCCACCACTGATTAAATCATCCACGTACATACTGCGCTCTATCTCCTCTACTAATTCCGGGTTCACCATTTTGTATCGCTGTAGATGTTCTTTGATAACTGCGGCCAAGAGGAATGGAGACGGTGCCAAGCCAAAAAGTACTCGAGTGAATCGCAAGGTATCTACTTGTTTGCTTGCCAGATCCTTTATCCAATGAAAGCGTAAGGCAACTCGGTCTTCTCTTCGGACGCGAATTTGCAAAAATGCTTGTTTTAAGTCGCCAGCTATTGCCACGGGATAGAACCTATTTCGTACCAGCACGTTCCAAAGCTGGTTCTGTAGTGGAGGGCCGATTTCGAGGCACTCGTTGAGTGAGGGGACACTTACATTAGCTCTTGCAGAAGCATCATAAACAATGCGTATCTTTGTAGATTCTGCATTCTCGCGCACGACCGCTTTATGAGGAATGTAGAACTCTTTTCCGTCCTTGACCACCTCGTCAGCGTGTTCTACGATCCCTTGGCTCAGTTGAGTCTGGATAATGTCGTTGTACCTCTCCAGCTCGCCTTGTATCTCTAACTTCCGCACGAGATTTTTGAGACGTTTTAAACTTCCAGTGTGATTGTTCGGTAGGGGGGGGTGATTTCCTTTCCAGGGCAAGTTCGTCTCGTACCAGCCTTCTGAACTCCTAGTTAGTTGCTCTTTGAATTCTTCGTAAACGGTTTCCTGGTCTCCACTTGGATTGTCCTTCAACCCCAAGACGTCTAACTTGCACAATTCTTCGTAATCAATTGCGGAGGTCTGCGTTAACAACATGTTGCTGAGATCCAACTCTGTCCCAGGTGACAAGATCGTCCAGCCGAACTTCGTGTATTCTGCTACTGGTTCTCCCGAGCGCCCAACTCTTGGTCTTGCCCCTGTTTTGATCTTAGCGTACTCGTTTGTTCCAAGGATCAGATGAACAGGCAACATCGCTTTCTCGTCGTTATCATTTGTGGTTACGCCCTTCAAATGAGAAAACTGAGCCACGATTTCTGCGCATTTTGGGTTTTCCAATGTCAACAACTCTTTGCGGTCGACTTTGTTTACTTCGGCTTCCAAGGTGAATTTACCATCAACGCTTCGAATTTGTAGGCCATAGATGTCTATCGCTTTGTTTGAAGTACCAAACATCATTTCAATGCGCTTGAATTGTTGACGGATAGGGCGCAAATGTAAACAGTTCAGAAGCGTTGATGAAGCGTAGGAACTTCCGGCTCCTGTATCCAACAATGCTCGGCATTTAACACCGTTCACGTCCACTGTTACCATAGGATACACCACTCCTTTCCTTTCTGCGCTCGTTGTGGTCATCAGCTGGTCTCGCGATGTATGTTTGTCACAGATCGACGTATGATGTCTTCGACTGCAGATCTGGCAGCCAGAACGGCATTTGCACTCAGAAGCACGGTGTCGACTTCCTGTGCAGTTAAAACAAAGCTGTTTCAGTCCTAATTGTTTCCTGCGGTCTCCAACTGTCACAAACTTGTCGCAATTCACAGCTCTGTGGTCAGTTGCGTCACAGTAGACGCACCCTCTTTGTGTTGGCGTAGTTTCGTTTGCGTGAAATGTTTTCTCGCGATCGCGGAATTTAGCACCTTGCTTCCCCGCATTATCCGCGCCGTTCCCAATGGGGTTGATTTCCTTCCAACTTTTCAAAGCTTTTATCAACTGTGGGAAGTCCCAGTCCTGCCAGTCCACTTGTCCTCTCACTAGATCTGCTTTTACACCCTTTAGTTTGTCGAGCACACTCCTTACATTTCCAGTGACGTCTTTCAATTTGCCCAGTGTCTCCAAAGATTGCACATTGTACACGAGCTTCTTGTAAAATTCGTGGATAGGCGCAGGTTGTGTTCCTGTAATGACAGGCAAATTCGCGATGTTCTGGACGTACGCATTCACGATCTCGCTCGTTTTCCCATATTCGCCGATGAGGATATTCTTTGCCCTTTCGTAGCCCTCTGTTGTGAAAGGCAGTCCGTCTATCTCCGCTCGAACCTTTGGATCTACCAGCTCTTTTAGGTATGCAAACTTGGTCACAGACGCAAGGCTTGCTTTATCAATTTCAGCTTGAAATTTGTTCCAGAACGGCAGCCATGCTTCATACGTCCCATTAAACTTTGTGATCTGTAGTTTCGGTAGCTTTGTTGTCCTTTGTTCAGTCTGATTAACCTTCTCAACAGGTTGCTGTTTTGCCTTGGTCTCTTCCAGTTGGCGTTCGAATTCTAGCTTCATCTCCATTTGCTCTCTTTCGAATTTAAGCTCCTCTTCACGAGCACGGGCTTTCCTTTCTTCTTCGTCCTTGTGCTTTCGATGTTCGATCTCTCCATTCGTCTCCACGAGCCATTTTTCTAGTCGCGAAACTTCTTCGTCAGCTTCGGCGATCGGTTCTTCAATGCTACTGCTCCAACTTCCAACGTCTTCTGCACTTTTCCCGGCCTTGAACATGGTCTGTTCAACCTTTAGTTTAAGCGCGTCTACTTCTTTTACTAATGCTTGTAGGTTGTCGCGATGTCGCGCGACCGCTCCTAGGTTTCCCTTTTCCACAATGCCACGTGTTTTTCCATTAGTGTACAGCAACATCTGCAATTTAGCCTCTGCTTCTTTGGTTAGTTCCTCCATGCTTCGCGCGTCCCGTCGGAGGTGCCACTGTGTCGGAAATGAGACTAAAGAATCTGCTATGTTCCGAAACTTCACGTTTTATTTTATAAAATCAACTTAACCTCCCTCTCTCTCGTCTCACCGTTCTCTGTCTTTCGCTCTGGTCTCTCTCATTTTAAATATATAATATGATCCTATTGTTCAATCATCTGTCACTTATCGCAAAAAATCAACCGGAAATCAATTAACGCTGAATAATCTCTCACAGTTATTTTTGTTAAACTATTTTTTGTTTAATTTATTTTTATTTTTGCTAAGCCCCCCCTCCCTCTGCGCGGTCCCTGTTAACACTCTAAAGGGTCAAAGAGTGGAGAGTATAGTTTCAGAGAAACTTGACAAAATGTAAAGGTGATACTGTAGTCTGATCGTCGACTTATAACAACTTAACTCTGATTATGATTTCCGCTCAGACTGTCGAAACGTCATTAACCTCTACCGACACTCACCCAGACTGGATCAGGAAACGCTTAATGTTACCCCCGGGTTCAAACCATTTACTGTAAAATGATGAGGGTAACCCAATTACAGAGTTCTATTCGTCCACAGAGGAATAGCATTACAGAGCACATAGAAATTTTAAATTGAGTGGCAAAAGTGATCCAGGATTGGTTTACTTCTACTTTACTTTACTCTGTGCTTGGTCTAGAGAAATGTGCACCACCATCTCAACCAATCAGATGCAAAACTAAAACTAATCACGATTTCATCATTGGAAAACTATAGGTTTCTAAATAGACTAATCAGGACGATGCTTTGAGATTTTCTTCATCAAACAGAACTCAGTTATTTGTTGCTGACTTCAACTTTATAACTTCCAACTTGTCCTAACTTGAGGAACTCCACAGTTTCTGTTTTAGAATTTGGAAAAGGGTAAAGAACAATTAAAAGCAAACCTTTTTAACTTTTTACCGTTATTTTTGCCTCTAACTATTGCAAACAGGTACTCTGTGAAATACAAAACTACCATTATCGTGCAAACTACGTTGGAAATGACGTGGTATCGCCACTGTTTACTCCTCCACACTTTCAACACGGCAACATTTAGGTACATTGCTTGCAGCCACAACGATACAGTGTTAAAAAATACATCTATTGCTAGACCAGTAACGCAACGAGCCAAGAATTGCCAGATGAGACTCTCAAAGTAACCATCAGGCGTTTGGAAGTCATCTGGGTACATGAAATTGTACAATTGGCTGAATCCTACCGCTGACACTAGGGCGTTTGCTTCGGTTAGGACAAGTTGAATGCTAACGTCTGCAACAAAACGCATACTTCGAGGGGTGCGGGTTATGCCTGCTGGAAAATTTCTTGGGCGTGATCTGCAGCAGCGAGAGAGTAGTTTGTAGGCGTATTCCCAGATGTAATCCCTCATGGAAACTGTTAAGCGCTCTATGAGGTCAACCACAGCATGACCAGCGCCCAAAGCGACAAATAACCAAAAGCTTACCAACTCTGCCTGCATAATACGGAAGACAAAAGCTGCTGCAGTATATAAAGTACCTATCAAGAGGTGCAAAACTCCAGGGTGAACTAGGTTGAACTTTGGTACGGCTGTGCGAACAATCACTTTCGGGATCGATAGAAATAACGGGCTTAAACCTGCGATGAACACTTTCTCAATCTCCGATTTTTCGTTATACCATGGGAAGATCTTGTAGACGAGTAAGAAACAAATAGGTAAGCCAAATATAAACTGCAAGGCTAGAAGACCTGTGGTCTTAAATAGGGTCTTCTTGGAGTACAAATGCTCGGGTATAATATGTTTAGCTATGATCACGCTATTCGTCATTACCATTGAGGTAAACAGAACATTTAAGGGGTAACTCATCCATGAGTGTTTGTAGATACCAAATATTTGTAGATACAGGCGATAGCAACAGTCGGTAAAAGCAGCAAGGAGATTAACCGTGAAAAGGTTAAGCTCTTTCATAAATGAAAAACCAAATATACATAACATTATGGAAAAATGCCAAAGCTGAATGAAGAACCCTTCTATCGACTGGCTAGTGACACGGATGCTCTGAATCACTCGTGGCATGCTGTACCATTGAGCTGTCTTCTCGTAACAAAGATCTGCGGTGTTGAAATCTAACACTGCGATGGCAATCGCCAGCAAACCGATGGAAGAGCCAAACACAAACTGCATTTTAAAGACCGTCTTAAAACAAGTAACAAGGAATTTAAGAGACGGAGGTCGGGACAACTTCCACGCCATTTTGCCGTCATGTCCTGCAGGGGGATCGAATTCTTGAAAGACGGTATCGACACCGCGGGAATCAAATCTTGTGAAATCTGCAAGGTTATCTTCCTCAAGTAAACCTCGGTCATCATCAGCTTCTTGAAATCCTGTTGGGGAGTAATTTTCGATTACACTTCCAGTGAAACTTTCAATGATGTATACAAGGAATTCCACCACAGCGCTTAACATTCTTTCCTCCGCTGGCTTCAACTCGAACGACTGATCAGCAGTTTGACGAACTTTCAGTTTCTGCACAGTCGGTTTGGTAGTGCCAAATTCTGCACATTACTAATCCACTGTGATTGTTTTCCAGTTGAACAATCCGAAATTGAAATGAATCTGTTTCCGGGAATTTGGGGAATGTAATGTGATACACGAGCAACGACATGAAAGCATAGTTAATCGAGGGGACCTCGATTAACTATGATGAAAGTGAAAACATAGGCATGGCTGATGTCGCGGACGCAACACGAGCTGCGTTTCACCTTACTGCGTCTGCGCATCCCACTAAAATCAAACATCTTCTTTTTTGAGTTGAGTTCCTCTTTCCTCTTTTTCCCTTTGGCCTTTGCATATTCACTTTGTACTTTTCCACAAATTTTTTCTTAAAGATTCATTAACTTCTAGTCTAATTTTTTCATCATTGCTAATTGCAAATGCATTTCCCGGAACAGAGTAATCAAACAGATCAACATAAGTATAAGATAATTTCATGTTTGACTCATGCATGTGCAAATTTGATGGGGTTGAACAAGATGGTTCTCCATTGCCATGGGTGTGATTTCTATCATTTTTCTGTGTCTTGATAAAATCATGCCACAATTTCAGCAAAGGGTAGGGTACGTCCACAGCTAAGATGATATTCCTTGTCACTGTCTTGGCAGCATAGGCTAAAGAGGGACTTTCAATCCCCAACTTCCATTTTAAAAATGAATCAAATGAAGGTGTATCAGACATTTTGCATAACTTCTTTATTATTTTCTTTCCGAGATATTGCTTGAGAAGCTGTTAAAATCTTGTCCAAGTAAGAAGCTTACTATTTTGTTTTTCAAGTCAAATTATTTTCGCGCCAATGCTGCAATCTATGTCAATCTTTGAGCATTCAGTAGCTGCCCTGTAGCGGTATTGTCCATAACAGGCTAGGTTACTATGTTTTTACAAAATGGCGATCGAAGAGTTCTTTGATATGTTTTCAGATCTTATAATTTTAGTTTTTGAGTCAACGTCTCTACTGGGAACAAGACCCATAAGAAAAAAAATTTTTTTGGACTTTTGGAAGTCGTTTGGCAGCGTGGATTCACACTTTTATGACTTCAAATAGCCTTCAATTAGAAGGTCGGCTTTCGAAGAGATCGAACAGACGTGGGAAATTGATAAAACAACCCTTGTTGTGGCTGCAGGAGAAGCTTTAGCTGACCAACATAAGCCATTTAAGACACTTAAGGCACCAAAAAGGTTTAAAGTTTCTTCGACTGGGGCAGATCGTAGCGAAATCGTAAGAGTTTGAGAACGGAGGCAAGTGATCTGGATACTCTTCTAATACATTTCAGACGAGGACATTTTTAGTACACGCTTCCAGAAAATTACTGTGTCTGATTTTCAAAATTTTCCCACAGAAAGCCTTATGCAGCCGCCATATTTAAACTCCGTAATTATTTGTCTTTTATGCGCATGCTTAGCCGCCATGATGTCTTCGATTTCTAGCCATGGATTCTAACGGAAAACATTTTAATCCTCTCTCTTATTTGAAGGATGAAACTATAGGTTTATTAAAGGGGGTAAATTACATGGCGTTGAGAAGTCAAATTCTAGTTATACAGGTAACGTTAAGACTGCACTCGAGCGGTTTACAGTCAAGTCGCCCGAGAGTCATCCCGCCCGAAGTCATGTCGCCCGAAACCTGAGTCATGTTGCCCGATATTTTCGTTATGGATGCACTTGAGAAGTTTGGAGAGCACTCAAAAAGCTAGAGTTGCTCTCGGCTGCGCTTCGAGCTACTCTTACGTATTTTTCGTGCTCTCCAAACATCCCGCGTGCATCCATAACTCGATATACGCACACTAAGCATGAACAAATTCTTAAATTTCAGACTGGAAATAGGCAATAAAGTTGAGAAACTGTTATCACTAAAGCGCCCTTTGTTTCCGACAACACCATGAGGATTCTATAAGCGTTGTTCGCTCTTTTGAACAATGGGAAACGTTGTTCGTATTTAACAACAAAATTAAGCGTTGTTCGTTTGGTATGTAATCGTTTCTTACTCACGGACGTTTCGTAAGCTTGACCACTGACTTTATCTTGGTTTCTTACAATACCATGAAGGGAAGGGTTGTTCATTTCTATAACAAAAATGCACGGACGCAGCGTAACATACAAGTAAAGTTCTGTTGTTAAAGTTCGCGTTCGGTAAAAGGTCAACGCTTCATTTTGTTGTTAGAAACGAAAAACGCTTTTAGCATCGTCACTCAGACATATTTCAATTCCGACCATACGATCGATTTCTGTGTAGTCAAAGTCTTCATGGTATGGTTAGAAACCAAGAAAGAGTTTCTCAAGCTTATGAAATGTCCGTGAGTAAGAAATGAGTACATACCAACGAACAACGCTTTATTTTGTTGTTAGAAACGGACAACGCTTCCCTTTGTTGCAAGAAACGAACAACGCTTTTAGAACCGTTACTCTAACGTACACTGAAATTCTGATGTTTTTAGTATTTGTTTCTTTGGTCGACTTGACTTTTTTTTCGGGCGACATAACTAAAATTTCGGGCAACCCGACTCAGATTTCGGGCGACATGACTTCGGGCGAGATGACTCGTACGGGATTTGAACCCATGACCTTTGCGATACCGGTGCAGCGCTCTACCAACTGAGCTAACAAGCCAACTGGGAGCTGGTCATTAAGTTGGGTCCAAATAAACCATACAAATGATGAATAATGATTGTAGATATATGAAAATCATATGAAATTTATGCCTAAAATTTATTTTCCTTAAGAAAAGGTACTGAACAATTCCGTAATCCTCACGTACAAATTATAAATTTCCCAATTTTTCTTGGTTAAGTAGCAACTGATCTGTTTTTGAACGTTGCCTGAATAGTGCTCTGCATAGTGAAGACCGACTTTATTTTGAATCAAGCAAAGCAAATACAAATGAAAACTTGCAAAACTTGTCAAAACTTTTTGGTATGAAGTATATAATTGATCCGTCTGAGAGAAGTGTCCTGGTCTTATTCAGCATCTTTTTCACGCCGAAAAAGCCGCGTGATCGTTTTAAGGAAACGACGCCTACTACTTTATGTATCCTACTTCCGGAAAGAGATCATCAAGAAGTTTCGAATTGTTTGAAACGCACTGACGTTACACTAGAGAGGGGTAAAAAAGTCAACGTGACTTCGCAGAAAATTCGCCTTGTCATCCGTTCCGCGCACTGCATGCTGGGTCAAGGCCAGCTGGCATATAAACAATTCGTGCACGCAAAAGTTTGTGTCGACTCACGACAAAGTTTATATACTTGTTGTCATTGATGGTGTTTTACTTAGATCTTAAGACGCAAGACAGTATGGTTGTGGCTCGAGGTGTTACCCGTGTTGAAAAGTCCCGACAGATGAGGGAAGGCGGTGGATTTCTCGTTCGAAGACCTGTCGGAGATCGCATCGATCATTGTGATCCGTTCCTTATGTTGGATCATTTAGGACCGGTGGTTTATGGACCAGGAGAGGCTGTAGGAGCGCCTGATCATCCTCATCGTGGATTTGAGACCGTTACTTATCTCATTGACGGTAAGACAGGAGTTTCTTTTTATTTTCAAAATTAAGATAAAAAAGAGGTGTTTACCGATCGAATTATAGCGTGACACTTATCAAATTACGTAATTAGTGTCAAAGCTTTTAAATCCTCTCCAAAAATCGACCGAAATGAGTACACATAGATTGTCTGACCAGTTAACATCGTAGAATCGAGATCTGCAACTCAAGATAAGATTATGTCGAAGAAAATTAGGCCAATTTGTGTTTCGATGATTTATTTACTCAGCATTTCCGCAAATAGTAAATCTCTTCGTTTTATTTGATCAAATGTTTGGAAACTAGCTCAAATGGTCAGAATAAGCAAAAGGAAACTCTATTTCCTCGTTTTCCTTTAACAGAAAAATCGAGACCAAATTTATCGTCATTATTTACGTTGCAATGACAGCGGGGAGCAAATTTAGAATTTTTAGGTCTCTACTACAAGTGGTTTTGTGCAGGTTCTCTGATTTTCTGACCTCTGCAAAATTCTCCAAATTATTTTCATACCTAGAAAGTGTGTGTGGAGAAATTTATATCTCCTTGAGAAGACGGCACAATGCTAAAATCCAGTTTAATATTTCAAACTCTTATTCACTATTTGGAATTGACCATTTAAACCTTAGGAGTGTCCAGCATCTGCTGAATCATTTATTGAGAACGTGAGAATCGAGGAAATGATCACCAACCTAAGAGGCTTTGATTGTTAAAGAAATTCTTCTTATCAGTACCAAAGGAAATGCATAGAGATGAGTATGGAGAATATAGGGGTGTTGAAGGTTGACCTAAATTATGTCTTTTTGTGTATAGGAGAGATGAAACACCAGGACAGTGCTGGAAATAATGGTGTTTTAAAAGAAGGCTGGGTTCAGTGGATGACAGCAGGATCTGGTGTTGTCCACAGTGAAATGCCATCTGATGAATTTCTAAAGAGAGGTGGGAGATCAGAAGGCTTTCAACTCTGGGTAAACTTGCCTGCAAAAGAGAAGATGATCAAACCAAGGTACCAGGACACTGATGCTAAGAAAATTCCAGTGGTTAGCAGTCCAGGTATGATTTGATCTTGTAAGATTTTCTTCCAATCCTTAAATATGCTTCTAAAAATAACTATTTTTGTTTTATCATGATCCTAAATGGCTTAAAACTTTTCCATTGAAAGCTTTGAATCAATTAAAGGGGTTAATTTTTTATTGTAAAGAACTGTTTTCGTTATTGACTTTTCAGGTTCCTAAGTCTTACTTTGGATACAGTTTGAGTGGTTTTTAAGTTTTCTATTGTGGTTTCAGTGCCTCCCTTGCTGTGAGTTTAAGAACAGTTTGGCCTCTCTTTCTTTGTATAACAAACTATTTATTCATGTTTCAGTATGCTTATCAAAATAATAATGCAAGGAATTTAGTTACTAGAATGAAGTGGGAGAAAATTTGTATTGAATGCAGCTAAGAGCAACTCATGGTTTGAAGTGGGTCAATTGTTCATCATCTCTTAAATTCTTTTTCCTAATAGATGGGAAAACCAAGGTGAAAGTTATAGCAGGAGAAAGCTTGGGAGCCAAAGCTGTTATAGACACACGAACACCAATCATGTTCCTGGACATTCATATACAGGCTGGTGGATCATTTGTTCAGGATGTTCCTGAGCAATTTGATGGATTTGCTTATGTTTGGAGAGGAGCTGGTTCATTCACTGATGAAAGAGTCTCTGTGGAGATGGGAATGGTAAATAAAAAAAAAATTTGCCAAAGTTATCTTAAGCCCTTTTAAAAAACTCTTTGGTAGAAATGAATTTGGAACCTTTAGGCCAGTTGGGTACACTACAAAGAGGGTCACTTATACCCAATTGTAAAACTCATCATGTAAAAATATAAAATATTTATAAATATAAATATCACAAATAATATCAAAAACTCTTTCATGTTCACGCAAAATCAAGACAATCGCATTGAAATTATATTTTTACTTTTCTAGTCTTGACAAGTCTTAGGTGTCAAAGTAGTGTCTTATCTTATTTGTTCAAGAACCATTGGTGGTCTGTTTTATGACCTTTATCAATCCATATGAAGTCCCTATTTGTGTCAAAATCCTGGTCAAAATTTAACTACAGTTGTTTGAGAACAATACCTTCATTTCCAAAACAATAAAATAGCCAGAAATTCATCACCCAAAACAAGATGATTTATGAATCAGGTTTAGTTCAGCACTTAATTCATGATTTTAAAAATAGTTCACATGGACATGATTCACAAATAATAAAAGAGTCAGATCAGGATTTACAAGAAAAAAAATAAAAAGATTTTCATTGAATTTCTATGCATTCCCTCTAGCCTCCACATAACTCTACATGTTGGAAAATTTAAAGATATTTCATTTTTCCAGGTTCATGTTGAGCTACTTGAACAGAAAATCCCAAAATTGGTTCCTAGCCACAAAACGAAAAAAACAAAACAAAACAAATCCACAGATTGAAACCTCCAGAATTTTACTAAGCCTTATAATAATTTTCTTCCTCTCTTGGATCTAGGGCCCCCTTCCCTTAAAAAATTTCACTCACTTTTCTTAGGTTGGGTTAAGTTTCATAAGTTTAGAACAATCATAAGGAAAGAAACTTGAATTAATTAAATTGTTCAGGTTGTTTAGGTTGGGTTAAGTTTCATAAGTTTAAAACAATCATAAGGAAAGAAACTTGAATTAATTAAATTGTTCATAAAGGAAATTCATATTTGTTTTCTTTTTGCAGGTGGGTGTGCTTGGAAAAGGAAACACTTTTCAGATAAATGCAAGTCCCAATGAAGACATTCATGTGCTCTTGATTGCAGGGGTACCAATAAATGAACCAATTTCCAGGCATGGACCATTTGTTATGAACAAATGGGAGGAGATAGAGCAAGCTTTTAGGGATTATCAATCTGGCAAACTTGGTTCCATCGAGGGATCTGAAGAACGTTATGCCAAGACACAGAATGCAGTCAGTAAACAGAAACAGACAGGAACATGGAAGAAAAAATAAATTTACATCAATAGTTCACTTTGACTGAAAATGAAGAGTGCAATTTTTCTGAAGTAGTATGTCAAAGATGCCATCATATTTTTTCACCTTGAAAAATTAAGTTTTAACTCTTCCCCTACTCTGTTTGTTCAATTTTACCCTTGAAGACATTTGGTAAAACTCCTTTGAGGATATATATATATATTGTCCCTCAAGGCTTTTGGATTTAGTTCCATCTCTCTCATGAAGACATTCACATTGTGTTATAAGTTAAGTTCTCTAAATGTTTATTGCTGCAAAAAGTCAATTTGAGGGTATCAAAGTTGTAATATTTTTCTTGATCTTCTGTTGGTTGTTATAAAGTTATTAAGGAATATTTATATTTCATCAGTTTTTTACTGGGTACAAAAATCGCATTTTAAAACACTGTAATCCCTCCACCTAACTTGCCACTCTTTTGAGCAATATAATTTATCTAACCCCATTTCCATATCAACAGGCCCTCTAGTCTTCTGTTTGGAAACAAAAAATTAATCCCAATTGGAATAAGTTGAGAGATTTGATCAGCTACAATCAGTCAGTGATATCACTTTGACAATACAATTATAAGAAGTTGTTTTTACAGGTATGAGATCAAGTATGATTTAATTTGGCTTAGGGTTCTGTTGAAGAAATTTTTCCTTAACATTTTTGTATGTTTATCACGGCTATGGTATTGGCTTAGTATTCTTGTATGCAAATAAAAAGTGTAAAAACTCTGATTTATTGTATCTTTCAAACAGTTGAGGAATGCATTAACTTGCCAGTGTTGACCTTGAGAGAATTGACGATCAGGAGATACTTAAATTAGTGATCATTTCCTTTATTCTTACGACCTTAATATTTAATTTAAGGGGCATACTGTTAGGAGAAATTAGAAGCCAGTCACTTTTCAAGGGTTAAAAGGTGGAGCACTGTGATCTTTATGGTAAGGATTGTCCTGAAAAGGACTGTTGTCAAATAAAGAATCAAGCATTTTGAAAACCAAAGTGGATGTACAATTAAGAGTAAATTTACTTCCTGGTCCTAGCTGTAAAAGAAGAAGGGAGTGGACAAAGTATAATACCAGAGCGATGCAAAGGATAACAACAAAGTTGATACCATATTTTATTTATAAAAAAAATTCATGTGGCTTTAAAGTGCTTTTTACAAGTCTGCCATAATTTTAGCTACATGTATCAATATTCCAGATTTTTAAGGTTAAAACTAAATGTTTACCCTCATTTAGCTCTCTCTTCATTAAGAAAAATAGCAAAGTCACCCTTAACAGTTCTGGCTATTGATTGTAAAGTAAACAATCAGTCACCAGCCAAAGAGGAGTTTACCCATTCTGGAAACAAAACATGTGACAAAACAAATATTTTCAATAAAGATCTGATCTGTTCATAAGCAACCTATGACCAAAGTATGAATGTACACCAAAAGTAAAAGAGTAATTAAGTTCCAGCAGAAATGACTCTTTTTAGTTGCCCATTTACCAGCATTTCCTTTTTCTTATTTCATGCCCTAACTATAGTATTCTCCATACATTTCTATGGTACTAAGTAGGAGGATTTCTTTAACAATCACAAACTTCACAAGTTGGTGATCATTTTTTTTCATTCTCATGACTTAAATGTTTGGATCAATGGTGATAAAGTGAGGACAAATTGGATGCCAGTCACTCGTAGGGATTAAAAGGTTAAAAAAGTGATTACTACCAGAACTTTACTGCAACCTTTTTGTTATCTTTTGGGAGGGATGGGGGGGGGGAGACCAAGACACTTAAGTCAGAAACATTAGCAAACCAAATTGGAAATCAAAGGACTTGTTGCACCAAAAGAGACATAAAGCATAAAACAAGACAATAATGTAAAATTAATTCATAAAGTAACAATCATAAGTTACAACATCAATAAACAATAATTAACTCTTAAAATTGACTTGCAGTTCAAGCTTCTTTAAACAATCAGCAAGCACCCTTAAAAAATACTATTTTGGGTAAAACAAACCAGTTGACTATTTGCTGTAACAAGACAATTGAACAGGTTCCAAGGAAAATTATCTTCATAGCACATGGAGAATTTTGGTCAGAATCTTTGTCCTAGCTAAAGAACAAAACAAGTTGCCCAGGTTCAAACTGGCGCTAATTTGTTTGTATACTTATGGAGAGGAAATTAATAATTAAGTAACATTCTGCCAATTTATTTTGGAGTTAGATAAAAGGGGCTGTCTGTAGTAGAGACCTGTGATAGCAAATTGTTGCCCACTGTGGTTCAACCTTAATGTTACACTTTTCAACATCTTATTCAAAATTTTTCAATGATAGCGAAATTTAAAAAACTTTCATTTTCCCATCAAATATCACACATCTGTAACTATTCCTTAACCTTTTTGTAACAAATTATCACTGACAAAAGTATGATATGATTCAGTTTGTACATGGTTGGGTTGTATTATACTCATATAAAAAGTGATACAAAATCCACGAACGGAGGCTGTATGAAATTATTTCACATACCTCACACTTGTACAAAATTAATTTTGGGCCTTGGAAGATGGCACAAGAACCCTCAATCTATCAATGACTGTTCTGTGTGAGTTTTTCCATTTGTTGATTCTAAAAGTATCAAAAGTATTCAAAAGTATGAAACCAATACAAAATAATTCACTCATCTTCCCCATCTGACCATTCAGAACCTGTCTCACTTTCATCCTCGCTAGAGGAGTACTCAACTGCAATACGACGAGCCAAGATGGTCGCCACATCCATGATACCATTTGTGTCACTGTGCTGCTCTTTCTTTGCTTCCTGAACTTGGACTTTCCTGAGCTCCATACCTCTTCTGATGGCAGACAGTAAGTCACTGCGAGCATCAACTTGTTCCTTAGGAGGGAGGGGTGTGTCTCCACTTTGAACACTTATACTTGACTCTGAGGTTGTCAGTGAATTTGAAGATGGTGAGATTGTTGGCTGTAACCCAACAGAAGACTGAGATGCAGCTTGCTTTAGAGATGGCATTCCTCCTGCACCTGGTAAGGGAGGTGGTGGTGGAGGGGGAGGAGCTGCAGGAACCCCTGGTGGCGGTGGTGGTGGAGGAATTGCATTTCCAGCAGGTGCTGCATTAGGAGCTGGAGGAGGAGGAGGCCCACCCCCAATTGCTGGGACTGGTGGGGGAGGTGGTGCTACATTTGGACGGTTTATGTTATTACCAGTGTACCGTCTAGACTGTCTTCGCTGAGCTGGAGAACCTGATTTTCCTGCTCCATCACCTGGACTGATGATATGATTGGGTGGTTCACCATCAGGGATGCCACCATTAGGCTGTTTAGAGTACTCTGTATTACGTCTTTCAGGCTTATGATTATCCTCTGTAACAGTAGTAGGTGTTGTTGTAGCAATGCCAGCAGTTTTAAATTCCTCACCTTGTGCACAGTAGACTCTCTTCTTCACAGCCTTGACAGGTTTTTTCTCGCTGGTTCCAGCCCTCACCCGGCCAGCCCGCTAAAACAAAACAGAATCTAACTTATAAATGCCTGGTGGCTCAGGTCATTGCTAATATACCCATAACTCAATGCTTACACATTCATTAGCACTAGTTTCCTTGGCATTAAGAGGCTAAAAGTGTTGCAGCTGACTCAGGTTGCATGTGGGGTAAGGTTAGTCACCCCAATAAAAGAAATTTGTTGGGTTTCACTGACATTTTGTCAACATCCATTCCTTCTCCTGGGCAAAGAGAGGTACTGTCAATGGCAATTAATTGTGCAGCCCAGAAATACAACATCACAGGATGAGGGGATGATCTTAAAAAGAGGGCTTTTTTGAGTACAGTATAACTGTCACAAAACAAACAACAGAGCAGAACAAAAATAATAACATGGTAATCTTAGGGTAGCAGAGCTGCAACTGGTTTTAGTTCTACACCTGATCTGTCTGTTGAAAAGGTGTCAAAGTTTCACAGCAGCAGACAAAAGCAGAAATACCTACCCTTCTTTTCTTCTTTTTCTCTACTTCTTTTCTCATCTCTTCACACCATAGCTCAAAGAAGTAAGTTGGATCAGTGTAAAACTTGAGTGCATCCTTTTTGTCATCTCTGTAAGGATTCATATCTTGAAGTCTTGGAGGTTTGTCACAACCACTGTACCTCTCCTTCATTGCTGAGGGAAGAGTGCTGCTTGCCAGAACCTGTTGTTCTGTCACAATTGTACTCCTGAAGGCTTTGCGCAAGTTTATGTCTTGTAAAGAAACTGAATTCAGGGAAGAAATTAGAACAGTTAAAAATGGAAAATCAATGTAAAATGAATAAGACATTCATGGGAAAAAGATGGCAAAGAAATTGTTATTAGAAACCTCATTTCTCATCAAACAAACTCTAGAACATACCATCTTTTCATGACCAATATAGTAAATTTTGAAATTTAACAGGAAGCAAAGTTATGGACTCTTCTCAATGGAACACAATTTCTTCAAGGAATTGTGCAATCAACAGCACTAGTCTGCTGACCCTTTCCGAGAGGGTGTCAGAGATAGAGAGACAAACTTCCTTCCATTGTTTTACATTCGCATTAAAAGCCACAAGAAACAAACATTTTTGCTAAACGATAACCCTCCAAACTCCTTTTATTAATCGTTATTTCAAGACTTAAAGTATAGAAGCAATTAAACGTACTTGTCAGTCATACAACAAACAAGCAAAATGTGGGAAAGCTGAAACGTTAATTAGGAAAACAACTGAAATTTTGGAAACAATTAACCCATTTGACATATTTTGTATTTGTATCGAAAGGCAATCACTGTGACGAGGAATGACTGTAACCAGATTATTCAGAAAACACGATTTTAAGCTTATGATTAGAGGGTAAAGTTTTCCGAACAAAATTTACTTCAAGGAGAACAATTTCGCGATTTAAATCAGGGTAACCCCTCAATTTAGAATGGTGTTTTGTCCAACCAAGACGAGAATAAGAATAGCGACGCTTAATTATTCATTGAATCAAGATAAAAATATCAAGTTTTATACAGTGTAAGCTCATGAAAAAGGTGATATCGACAGCAAGAAAGTGTATTTTTAACAAGCAAGATGATGTCGATTTCCGTCGTCCACGAACAAAAGAATTCAACAAATCTGGCCGAGGAATCCAAAGTAGGCAATATATTCTTTCAGCACCCATAAACTTGATCACTTACTTTCTTCCACATTGGAGTCCAGTTGTGTCACTTTAATGGACAAATTCTGCATTCTTTCATGAAGGGAGTTCGTTCTTTGAAAGATATTATTCGTTTCTGCAAATAACTCTCCAAAAAGGTCCTCTGCGTGTTTAGAAATGCTACTAAGTTGTCGCATGATTCCACATAACGTGTTTACAGACACCGCTTCCAATTCACTCTTAAACCCATCTTCTAACTTTCCACGACTTAATTCGGACGGACTGACCTGTCGTTTTATTAACGGCATGGTTGATTAAAAAATCAACCAACACCGTCCGATAAACTCCAAGATCCCAGTCTTTTATCCAACTCCACTGAACGGTGACAATGCCTGGCAGGAATTGAAAACCTACCGCATAACTTCCACCCTCGCACAAACACCCAACATGGCGACTTCCTCCTGCCCAGGGTTCTTAGCGAGCCACGTGAGGATGTCGGCTGATCTTCGGAAAGCGACCATTTTCACATTCTGTACGAATGAGTTCCGACAATTTTTAAAGAAGAAAAAGCACCATTTTCCTCTGGATCAGGGAT